TGTGCTTTGGATCCCAATATACTGTCCCAGTGGCGTAAGTTCCTTCCAAACCCAAAGGGAAGTACGATAGGTCTTCAGCAGCCATGTAAACAAAGCATACAGGCACAGGGTAAGTACAAGTACACACACAGCATCTCTTGCTGCCAGATGAAGCCATGCTCACTTATTTGTATTCTGAAACCCAGCGGCCCAGTATCTTTAAACATTAACTGCAATGGAGTTTTTTGTCGTAAATAAAAAAAACCCTACAGTTGTAGCACAGCATTCACATTAACTTGTAATGAATGCTTAAAATGTAAAAAAACCCCAATATTTTTTGCTCTGTTAAGTTCTCAGCACACTTCCATTATTTTAATACTAAGCACACTACAGTTACACATATTATGCTTAAAGGCTGCATGGCAATAAAGAGAACAAATTATGAAATTAAATGAAGCAAGCATCTGAGATAGTAAATAAAGGAAAGAAAAAACCGCATTTTTGGTATCAAAATGACAAGGTAAAACAACAGTTAAAAGAATTCCAAGGAAAGCAAAAACTTTGGAGAAAAACAAATTAGAGCTGGCATTAAAACTCACCAATCCCTGTTAGAAAAATCAAAAAAATTAATAGTATCACCTGAGCATTGAAATGGTGGTATTTGAGAAAACCCTGATGAAAATGCTGATGAGGGAGAATGGGACTCCAATGAAATGACTGAACCTCTAGGTTCTCTTCTAAAAAGGAAGCAGTTCTAGAATTAAAAATGGTACACATAATTAAGACTGAAGTGTTCAAAGGACCTCAAGGAGGTCAGAAAAAAATCATGGTCAGAACTACTCCCTGGGACGCCTTGTAAGTGGCAAACATACAGGAAAAATACGGATGAAAACCAGGGAAGTCAAAGACTGAGCATTTGTTGAGAGTAAGTCTCTCCAGGAGCAGGTAGAATATTGCTGCATAGAAGTGAAGCTGACAGATACTGGGAGCCAGGAGTCTTATTAAACATAGGACCTGAGCCTAAAAAATCAACTCCATTCAATAATCAGCAGGATTGCATATTGGGCAGGAGGAACAGAGGTTATGGAAAGAGGAGGACCAGCTTCCATACCCACGTGGTCATCTCATGAAATATTCACCTCTGTTACAAGGCAAGGTATGGACACTTGATCCAACACATCCCAATCTCCACAGAAGTCAATCTTAATATGTTAAGACCTCTTTTGAAAGAAGCTCTGATAACATTGAAAATGTTTTCAGTAAGTGACAAGATAAAATAGAGAAGACAAAGACAAGACAAAGAGGAAGTGTAATGCATAACAAAGTGTTACAAGATCCCCAAGATGACCTATCCTCTTGGGCAAGACTCTTGCATGACACAGTAAAACATGCAAGGAAATGGGCTGGGAAACCCATCCTGGAGAACAAACTTGGGCCTTTGAGAGGGGCCCAAAAACTGAAGTGCAGAGACTTCCCGAGTGCCAAGTGAGGACTTTTAAACACATCCTACCTGAGACAGAAGGATCAAAACACCCCTGAAGCAAAATGAGCTGTGGAGGAAGGTGGTAGCTTTACATACTCCCCATACAGCTCTCAGGCAACAACCAGAGAACACTTAGCCAAAAAGAGAGCAAAGGGGAAACATGAAAAAAGAAAAAAACTTTCACAGAAAAAACATAACCGAAACTCTTTGAGGAGAGGAAAAGAGATGAAAGATAAACCCTCACTAAGCGCTGGGAGAACTTTAGGATTTATCACCTGGTGCATTATGACCTACCAATGGACTGATGAGGTGTCCTGGTTTAGGGCAAATTTGGGAGAAAACCTCCAGGAGGAGCCCCCCCCCCCACCCCAGACAGCAAACCCCCACGGCCCCCCGACCTGGTTCGGGAAGAATTTCCTTGGAGAGAAGTGGAAAAAAACCCAACCTGTTGATTTAACAGACAGAAACACTTCCTGGCACAAAAACAACAACACCATGTGACAAAAACTATTTCACTGCTCTGAAGAGATGACAAATTCAGAAAGTCTCTCCTGGGAGTGGCCCAGTTCTCAGTCTCTGGTGCTGGGGATGGCTGCTGCAGATCACAAAATGCAGGCTCTCGGTGTTTCTCATCATTTCCCAGGCACCAGTCCGGAGCAGGTTCAAATGGTACTCAGGAAAGGGAAAGAAAAACAGTCCAGGGAAAGAAATTGGACTGCCTAGCTAAACTAACTAATAAGCAAAAGCAAGAAGCAGGAGCGAGAGCAAAGAGCCAGCAAGCAAGCAAGCCCTATCCGCTCTCCTAGACACAAACCATGGCGGGAGGTGAGCCAGCTGATAACAAGACAAAATAAACCTTCACTTTTTGAAGCCAGTCCTGAAGGCGCAGAACATAACATCAAGCATAAACAGAACACAGGACTGGGGATACAAGCACCATAATGTCACCCTAGGACACAAGGACAAGCCCTGTATTTACGTACCAGTAGGACCTAGAAAACATCCTTTGAAATATGTGATTGATAGCAGAGCTCAAATTTCACTAAACACCCAAATGGATGCTGAGAAATTAGACATAAGTTTTAAAATAAATAGGGCCCATACACCAGAATTTAATGAACAAAGTAATTTATGTTATACTACCAAAGTCTGTTTATGTTTACCTGGGGAAAGACAATGGACCTCACACATCCTTGCAATCACAAAGCATGAAGAAAATACTTTAAGATACAATATCTTGAAAGGAGAAATTTGGCAAATGCCTGGTGGGAATATCAGGCCCACATAAAGTTTTCTGAAGAGAATGAGAAAATTTCTTCAACATCTAATGGTTTTAAGCATATACTGATAGGAAGGAAAATGGTATTTGGACTGTTAGCTGTCACTAAAAGCAGGTATGATTATGGATAGTCTCAGTTCAGTCAGAGAGGAAAAGAGAGATTTCTAACCAGGATGGACCTGGGAAAGAGCTGGAAAGGAATGTAAATAATTCTATATCTCTCTTGTTGTTCACATTGTTTACAGATATGTTCTGCCATTGTGCATCATTCAGCACACACCAATGGGTGAGATGTTTTTACTTTAAGACCAATGAAATTGGTCTGCACGATGTTCCCTATAAAAGAGCAGTACATTTGAAATAAATCAGTTCACTTCTTGTCTTCTGAATCGGAGTCTCTTTGTTCCCATCCTGCCTCAACAGTGACAGTATGCTAATGCCAAAGCTACTATTTCAGGGCTCTATAACTGCTTTTCCAGTTTTCCTGTTCCAGATTACAAACAAAGTGACAATGAATCACTCTTAACAAGCATGATGGTATAGCACTGGGACAGAAAGGAGCGTATCAAAGGAATTTTTCATATTATTATGAAATTTTTCATCTTGTTATCCTCAAGCAAACAGGATGGTGGAATAGGCTGCTGGTTTGTTGAAAAGCGACTTTACACCTCATGCACCTAGATGGGATAAAAGGTTAAGGCCCATGGTATAACGCATACTTCTGCAATGCTGGCTTTCTGTCAAGGGAAGACTTTGACAATGAGGGTTGGCTGGGCAAGAGGATACTCACAGAGCAGCAGGGCTCACAGCTCCTGCCTGCCTGGCCTGTGCTTCAGGGCACTTCATCTTGAGGTGTGACCGGAACAGAATGCACAAAAGACAACAGCTTCGCAGGAGGTGACCCTTCAGAGTCATCATAGTACCTTTCCTTTTAATTACTTCACTACAAGCTACTGAACTTCTGACTACAGTGGAGCTCCCACACTCCACTGAGTGAGTGAGTCAGGAGTGAGTGAGTCAGAAGTGAGTGAAAAGACTTTTAATTTCTCAAGATCTAGAATCATAGAAAAGTTATGACCATCAAATCTAACCATGAACCCAGCACCACCACCACCATGTTCACAGTTAAACCTTGTCCTCGAGGACGTATCCATATATTTTTTTTAGTATTTCCAGGGATGGTGACTCCACCACCTCCCAAGACAGCGGGTTCAATGTTTTACAACCCTTTCTGTGAAGAAATTTTTCTTAATATCCAATCCAATCCAAATGCCTCCCATGGTGCAACTCGAGGCCATTTCCTTTTGTCCTGTTACTTCTTACCTGGGAGAAGAGATTGAACCACAACTGGCTACAACTGCCCATTCCCACTTTTACTAACAGGTCTTTATATATGGAGGTAAAACAGAGGATCACAGAAGGCCTTCTCCAAAAATACACTTGAGCTCAAATTGACAATCGGCTGCCTTGAACAGCTTCTTCTAGTTACACAAGGCTCACAAAGCATGGAAAAGCTGAAGTGAGAAGCAAGCAGTAATTTCTTCAATAAACTTAGAGGCTTTCCAACCAATTCTGTCAGCAGGTGGTGGAGTAGCAACAGCATTACATACGTAAGTATTTCCCCGTATATGTTCTATCTATCAAAAATGGGCAAATGGCAAAAAAAAAAATATATTCTAGGTTTTTTAAGAAATGGGGGGAAAGGGAATATCACACTATAAGATAAGAAAACAGTTACTCAAAGTGGATGTTAATGCCTAAATTTGCAAACTGCTGCCACTGCTGTCACAGCACAGAGAAGGGCAAATTCTGAAAGGGACTCCAGCAGCTCTGCTGTAGAATTAGTCACAGCAGCTACCAGCTAACCGGAGTTTCTGTCTGTGTTCCTCCCCCAGCCTCTAGTTGTCTTGTTTGTTACCAGCTACCTTATTGCAGGTCAAAACAGTAGGAAAATGGTGAAAATATATTTTTTATTTTCCTTTACCAAAAGCATAATGATAGAACCATATGAGCTTAACTTCCAAGGTATACTAAAAATCATATACTGCATCTTGTGCTCTGTAAATGAAACCAGGAATGTAGTAGCTATGCACAGGTGCATTTCCTAAGCAGAAAAACCTTTGGCAATTGCAGTTTTCCAGAGTAAATGGACAATTCAATAACTATTCAAGTGTGTGATTTTACTACTAATACTATTTCACTGGTTTAACTGAAGACCAAAAGCCACTATGCTACCACAGTGTTTATCTCAGTACTGACCATTATCCTGAAGGATTCCTGTGGAAGCTTTTACTGTCTGTTTTACTTTTGTAGAGTGGTTTGAAAAATGTCGTCTGGACACAGAATTCTCTGGATTCTGGCTTTTTTTGTCTTTCCTTTTGGTCAGCTGAGGTAAGGAACAGTTTTCTCCCCGGTCACTGGTGGATTTAGATTGCCAATCATTTCCCTGAAAAGAAGAGGATGTAATTATCAGTGATAATTAAAGAGTTTATTTTTAAAATTTCATTAAGGACTGGTATCAGGTGTGAAAGAAGCATAATAATTTACAATTAGTACATTTAAGTGATATCTTAAATCATCCAGAGAAGTATAACTATCCTAGTGTATGACCTGACCAATTAAATTCTCAACAGCTTCCAGAAGAAAGATCACATATTTATTATAAGAAAATAATGTTTCATTTAATGAAAAGAATGGCTAGATGAATCTATGCATGCATGCATATTATATGCAGCTATCTCTCATCTGTATGTGTGGACAGCCACAAAATATAACACGTTAATATGACTTGTTAATAAATCACTGTCTGTGTAAATGAGACCTGGGCACTATTCTAAGTGTCAAGAGAAGCTGAAGGAGAATTACAGTCTTCACAGGGCAGTAAACACATTCAATGGAACATGAACAGAAATGTGTATGTTTTATTGCTTACTTCTTTTTAGTGGCTCCAGAGACTTTTTTTGTTTTGTTTTGTAAACAATGAATGGACATGATCAGCTACCACAATTGTAATGACAGTCACAATTGTAATTACAATTGTAATGTGAGTCTGATTCCCTGCTGTCTTGTACTTGTACAGTACACTGCACTTGTGAAGAACTGGTGAAAACAGATACTTATATTCTGTTTTGGCACTAAAATTAAATCCACAGAGGACTCTTCTTGTAGCAAGGTGGGGTTAGGCTCTTCTCCCAGTCAACAAGCAACAGGACAAGAAGAAAGGGCCTCAAGCTATGCCAGGGTGGTTCACGTTGGACATGAGGAAGAATTCCTTCACTGAAACAGTGATTAAGCATCGGAACAGGCTGCCCAGAGAAATGGTGGAGTCACCATTCCTGGAAGGGTTTAAGAAACAACTGGATGTGGCACTTCGTGCTATGGCTTACTTGACACAGTGGTGATAGGTCAAAGATTGAACTCAATGACCTTGGGGGTCTTTTCCAACCTTAATGGTTCCCTCATTCATTTTGTACACATATAAATAGCTATACAGGACACAAAGCACTGAAGGATCAAGCTCTGTATGAAGGGCTACCTAGAATAAAATATATCAGATTGCAAATCAGTTTAGGGCCTTTTTCAAACTCAGTGTTCAGAAACAGTTTTCTGCAAAATGTTTTGTAAAAGGTTCTGTGTTTTTACTTTAGGTATATAATTTGAATAAATAAATAAATACAAAAATATATATGATCAGGTTTCTAGGAAAGACTTCAAGCCAGCAGTGGATCTTTGCTATGGAAGTTTTTATCAAAAACAAATTAGCCTATCACAACAATATTTTCTCAGATTTCTTCTAATTGACACTGCAAATAGCTACAGATTCATCAGGTTTAATAATCATGCCACCACATGGCTATGGATTTTTTTTCTTCAGATTTAATTAAAACCCGAAGGACAGGGACTTTCCATCTACCAGAATTTAGCTGAATTAGAAATTTGATACTTACACTGCCTTTAGACTTTCGAGATCCCACAATTGGAGGTAGTACAGAGGTTTTGGAACTGCAGGAATAAGCCATATATTAGACTTGTGTACACTGTCACAGGCACAGACATTATGTATCTACAATCAAGGCAGATAACACCAAGATGGCTATGGCAACAGAGGTAATTGTTTTTTCACTGCATGTTTTCACTAAGCATCACTCATTCTGCTTACTACACTATATTTAAATGCATAATCATTCACTAATTCAAAAAGTGCATTACCCTAGAATGCATACTTTATATACCAAGACCTTGCAGAGCAGCATCCAGTGAATTACTGTGTGAATGTTCCTTACAATTTACATTTCTTTCCTTTTATTTCAATGAAATGGTTCCAAATCCTTATGTTTTCCAAAGGTACACAAAGCACAAATTTCTCCTTACAGACACCAAGTTTAGGACTCTATTATGTGACTGCTCTAGCCTACAAAAAATAGACTCAAACATAAAACAATCTTAAGGGAGTATATATTTCACAAAACATTACTAACCAAGAGTAGACCTAAACTGCTGTAGCTGCACCCAATCTTATTCAGCTGTACACATTTGTATCCCAAGGAAAAAAAAAATAGGATTACTTTGACTTGGATTAATTTTTCTCAGATGCTAATTTTGTGATACATGATCAAAGGAATGCTTATGAGATGAACTGGTCTTCTGAATTTCCATTTCTGCTTTTGTTATTTTTATCTCAGCTTTCTCAGAATCTGACAGTGAAGTTTTGCATCCATACTAACCTATGCGTCATTCTTGGAATAATAATTTTGTACTTTACTGGTGGCACTTTGTGAACAAATTGACACACACAAACACACAGAAGTGTGTCACACACCTTTAGAACTTACCCCTGTGACCTTCTCGTTGTAGATTTGGACAGCAGATCGCCATATGGTAATTTCTTAAACTTTTCTCTACCCACTGCAACATAAATATGTCCATTCTCCAAGTCTGACCCATTCTGAACAAGCTTTCCATCTACAGTGTAGAGTCTGAAAAATATGAAAATGCTTATTATAACAAACCTTAACATTCAGTTAGGTGCATTAAGAGCACTGAAAGCTATGTTAATCTAAACTCACTAAATATATGTTGAATTTCCAGATATGAAACCAAATAAAGTACAGCAGACGCCATACAATGATTAGTAACTACATTTTTTAAAAAACCCAACCAACAAAAAAGAAAAAAAAAACCCAAAACACAAATAAATCAGAACAAACAAGGAAAAACAGCAAAATAACTCAAATCAAAGTGTATATAAAATGAAGTGCTATAATAGATTATTAAATACTCCCATAAATTCTGGAAAGAAATAAATTACTTTATATTTCTAAGGTCTTCAATACCTTTCCCATGTTACTTCGGAAGGAATCTATTCCATGAGTTCCTGACCCCCTCTCCTACCAAGTTCCACCTTCCATCTGTGCTCAGGGAACTATGCAGTAACCTGGGTAGAACAGGGCATTCATGACTGCAAGCCCTGTCCACCTAACAGAGACCATGCCAATATTGCATTTATATTGTTACATAGTGTAGATCAGAAGGTTGGAACAAGAGGAAATACAGTACTACATTAAAACAAGAAGCCATGTATCTTGGGCACATACCAATAATGACTGTGTCTATTACACCAGGTGGATTTTTACCATAATGACCTCATAATGCATCAGGGACTGGAGGGGGGAATTTACTTCCTTTTTAAGTTTGTGATTTTATTTTAGCATGGTCAAAACAGTGAGTAAGGAGGAACATTCAATAACAAATTAGCTCTTTCCTACAAAGTGTGGTTTGAAACTCAACAATATTAAAATTTAATTTAAAAGTCAACAATAATAACTTTCATTAAAGTGTTAAATGCAGGAATGCTGAATGCCTCTCTAGGGAACATGTTCCAATATATGATGACCATTACTGTACATTTCTTTTTTCTTCTGTTCAAGTCAAATGTCCTGTATTTCATTTTGTGTCCATTGCCTCTTGTCCTATCACTGCGCACCACTGAGAAGAGCCTGGCTCTGCCTTCTTCACTCATACCCACCAGCTATATATACACATTTAAATTATCCCTCTGAGCCTTCTGCTCCTCAGGCTGTGGAATCCCAGCTCTCCTCACGCTACCAGTAACTTCAAGCCCTTTCTCCCTGTGACCCTTTGCTGCTCTTGTTCCTGCATGTCCATTTCTTTCTTGTATTACCCTCGTGAAAGTCCCCTAATTTTCTGTGTGTCTCCTGCCACGTGGGAACACGTTTCTAAGGGCAAAGACCAAAAATTTTGAAAGGTGAAATTGCAGCTATTTTAAATCTAGATCACATTGCTGCTTCCTTAAGAAGAAGTATGCTAACTCTGGAGTACCTCGTTTGTATTACTTATATTTGTTTCATAGTGCAAACATTCCACAGGCATGCCAGCAATTCAAAGAGCAATTTATGTTTCACTACCACAGAGTCAACATCAGTTACACACAAACAATGAAAATAAAACAAGCTATCACAAAATCAGCAGGAAGCCTATTTCTGAATTAATCTCACTGTGTTCTGCTAGATTGCACTTTGCTTTGGGAACTCGGGGGGAAAAACAGCAAATCAGTGTACCACAGCTTCAGAATTGTTTATATGTTTGCATGGGGATGCAGATATAGAGGGGTACATACGAAATAATGAGGTTTCTTTTGTTCCTGATCTTTCATTTTGCTTGTGCTTTAATGTTATATTTAAAGCACAGAAGTTGTTTATTTGATATAACTCAAAAAATGTTACAGATTACGTGGCAATCTTTAATTTTAATTTTCACCATGAAAATAATAATCATAATAGTGAAATAAAACATAATCAGTCTCTGAAGATGAAAGTGAAATCAAAAATGCATTTTTTAAAAATGGATCTTCAAACAAATAACTAACTAAATGGATTTAACAAGCACACACAAGTTTTGTAACATAAATTTCTGAAGATACATTTTTACAATTTCTGAATTTTGAAGCCACAATTTTCACCCACCCACTTTGCCACAACCATTCACAGACCAGCTAGGTTCTCTCTAGCTTGTATTATATAACAAAAATGTCCCTGTGGTCACTTCTTCTGAGGATGACCTAAGTTTGCCTTGTGAGATGTCAGTGCACTTCCACTTTCCCTCCTGAATCCAAGCTAAAAAGTAACAACCAAAAGAAAGCAAGCATACACGCTGACAAAGGGAGACAGCAAAGACACAATTTCTGGGACAATGACCCCAGATTCCTAGCTGCTGATGCACCCAGTACCTACCCATTAGGTTGCTTCCCCCATCCTCATCAACAATCTTGCAAGCAGAAAAACCGCTTTCCCATCATCTCCCCTCTCATATTTCTTGGTTGCATCTCTATTCTGATCAGGGTGATCAATAATTTCTTTTTTAAAAAGCCCCATGTGAAACTGTGAGACTTGGTAGCTTTTAAGTCTTTTAGTAACATGGAAAAGAAAAAGCTTCCCTGTACATAAGGCAGGTTCTTGTAAGTCCACTTATACTTCTTTAATGAGAAATTAGATATTCCCAGCATCAGTGGTCTTACCAGATCTCCCCTAATACTAACATAGTTTCATTAAACTTTCATTACAGCAATTAGAGAACTACAATCACTTTACTAATTGATTTAATATGTATTTCTAATATTTTAAAGAAAAGAAAACAAAAACTGAGTAAATAGAAAACCAGCAAGGGGAAAATATTAAATATTTTAAAATGTCATGTACATTATCTTATTTTTGAAGGATTAAAGATGAGCACTGAAGGGAACGTCTCAAAAGGAATCTTAGTTATATACTGAATGCTTTCATGTATAACATTCTGTTTCACCAGAGTGACACCAACTAATGAGAATAAAATGTGAAAGGTTTTATATTGCTAAACAACCTGAAAGCAGACAGAATTGGTATGTTGTAAATACATCTCCTCGCTTTGTTCACTTCAGAATTACACTAGCAGGGAAACAGATCCAGAAAGCTTCAACACATGTAGGTTTACTTTACTGCAAGTGAAAGCCCAAGCAGCCAGCTAATAGGAGCAAAGAAGTGCAGGGCTGAGAGGAAACACTTGGTGAGAGCTAATATTCAACAACATTATCTTAATCTTGTCTCACTCTTATCAAACAGGAAAGCAAGCAGAAGAACTAAAAGACTACCTTATCTTCACTGTTTTGAGAAAGATTTTGCAAGCTTAGCCTCAGACATTGCATAGACTGAGAAGAATGATATTCCACAAAAGGTCCTTTCCCACCTGATGAAGAAATTTCTGTAATGTGCTCTGCATGGGGCAACACTGGAATGTCGATAATTTGCTTGCACACCTTGAGAGCCCACTTACACTGCAGTGTTTCTCACGGACATCACATCTATCATTTTGCTCTAAAACTTGTAACAACTACCAAATGCCCTTTTAGGTAACTTATTTTACATTGTAGAAGCCTTAAGGGACTGAAAGCTACCCATCCAAGAGGTGACCTCCTATTCCTCAGATACCTCAACAACTCAGACCAGCTGAGATACTGGAACTGGCAAACCCCAACAACAACTTTGGCCTTGGCTTTTATTAAGAGGCTGAGGGCTGAATATGAAGCACATCCTAGTCTTTCCCCATATATACAAACCCCAAAGAACCTATAATATTCTCCTTGAAATTGTTTGCCCCAATGAATTTAAAGAGCTATCAAAATTAAAGAGTAGCACACAGCACTTGTATCTCACATTCCAAACATCTTCATCAACTTTACAATGCTCATTTATTTCATTATGACATGTAATTTATTTATTAGTACTAAATGTATTGCATTATTATTGTATTATTACAGGCCTGTTAATTAAGTAATTAATTAATAAATAACAATTTTTAAATACCAGTTTAAGCGAATTGCAATTATTCTTTTTTTTAAATAATAATTGAAATAAAATATGAAGGTTGCTTAGAGTCAACGTATTTCCACTTTATGGCCTTTTGATGTATTTTAATTTTCTTACAGTGAAACTTCCCATAAAGTAAGAATCATCCATTAATATCTACCTAGGGAGTTTTAGAAACATATCTAGGTATATAAAATGTATCTTGCAAATATTTGGATTCCTTATACCTGTGAACAGCTCCACTTCTGAGGGTAACTTTTCCTGTAACCATTTCAAGAATATGATCCCAGTGATTCAGTGTTTTCCTGGGAATGAGGAGGCGCACTGCAGGGTTAATAAGGTCTCCATTAGCAATCAGGCTGAAATAAAGCAAAGTAAAATAACTTGGAGGAGCATTTTAAACAAAGTTCACCTGAAGTGAACACACTACCACCACCACCCCTGAAAGGGCAATCCACTAAGTGAAAATTCTGCTTACAAAATAGTGTAGGGCTCCTGGAGAGGCTTTCGAAAACGCGCTGACACGGTGATCCTGCTGTGAGTAACTGGCTTGACCTGCAAGAACAAAAGAAGAATTAGAAGTTACACAGTCCTTATAGCCAGAAAAAGCTCACCCTGACTACCATCAGCAAGTGGGACAGCATGTCTGTAAAGCATGCATTTTATTCCATTCCAGCTTCACCTTCTACATAGCCCACATAATTACTGCTGTAGTTTTATGTGTATGCTAAGTAACAACCACAGCACAGCATACCACAGTGCACCATAGCATAACACATGGTTTACACTGAGGAGACAGAATTGTATAGACATCTTTGGTTGTTCTGCAGACCCAAAGAAAGACTTCCAAACACTGTTCTTGCTGTCTTAGTCTTTACTGCTTATAACCATGGTGCAGGCAATTTAACTATCTTTTCTTTTTAACAATAACTGACATTGCTAGATCTCTCTGCTGTAATAACTACTTTTGGTCTTCTACAGGCCTTTCATCCAAATCCATCAGTAATTTATAAAGGTTCCTGAGTACTTTGCTCATTTTAGAGGAATGACTCAAAAGCGAGGTAAACTGCAGATTTTTAGCCTTCAGAAGAATACATAGGCTACTTAAATCCCAGAATTATTCCCTATACTCTTCTGATCAAACACTGCATTGAGATCAACATTAATGTTGTTATTCAGAATGGAAAGTTAAAAAAAAAGGATAAACCCAAACTCCAAAATTATTAGAAAGTTTTTTTTTAATTCTTCATCATTAGCAAATCAAAATAAGGCGTTAAACCCAAACAAACATTTAAAAATTATAGTACATGCATTAGCAAGTTGGCTACATTTATAAAATAAAATACCATAAAGGCTTAAAGGATTAAATAGCCAGCGTACAGACAGACATGCTTTCAAATAGATGTACAAAGTTTATTTAAACTGGCAATTTTCCAGTCACTGTGTAAAGCAGTCTAATGACATTATATGTTGCAGTTTTATCACACTCCATGCTAACATAACCAGTACTTCTTTAATTTATGGGAAATAGTCTGAACTCCAGTGCTTTTAGTCTTTGCTTGGATTTTCACACAAACTAATTTAGTAATGACTAGAATGCTTCCTATATCTTTCTCGTGCATTCACTGAAAAGAAAGGTGATCAAACTAGTAGATGTTTCAAATTGTTAAAAATTATTATTAAAATAATCAAATCTGACTTCCCACATGGGTCAAAGTATGTCACACAGCAAATTCTGCACCAAGCACATAAATTCTGGAGGTGAGATAGCAAACTTAGCAGAAAAGGAACCAAAAAAACAAAAGCAATAATGGCACTCCTCGGTGTACAATCATTTCAAGTAAAATACAATAACTGGCAAATCTGTTGAACAAAATCTGTTTTCAATGTCTGCTGAAAAAGAAGCACATTTATTCTGAATTCAACTCACTTCAACTTTTTGTGTTTTTCAAAGGCCCTTGTGAGCTGTGTAGCCCTCTCAAACATTTGTTTTTTGAGAGACTCAGAGGACATAAAAGCCCACAGTGGTCATGGATGGAGAAAGGCAAAATCAGCCTTTGCACAGCTCTATAGACTAAAAAGACTAAACAGAAGCAATCAGCCCCAGAAGGGCATGGTGATTTGAAGGTCAGTGCAAAGGGGTATTTTGGCCAGAGACAAATACAAGAGGAGAGACGGCAAGGAAGATGCTACTATTGCATTGTGCCAGCACTGGTTACAAACCAGACTAGGAAGCAGACTTCTGGCATGGCTGGGGACCTTCCCCTTACGCAAGTTTATGCAAGCAATTCACAACCCGTTTGCATTTACTCCTTAAGATCAATTTTGTAGATGCATGTTTGTTTTGGCCTCATACAAAGAGAAATTTCATACTAGACTGTACATAAGCACTAATGCCTAAGGTAATAGCAGTTCACAGTCCTGCTGTCAATTCCAGTGTGATCTGAATCAGGTGAAAGATTCACACTTACTACTACAGGCTTGGAAAGAGAGTAAGAGGTTGTTACCATACAGCTTATTAGGGGAGGCAAAGATATTTTTTGAGAACTGCCAAAAACCAAGCTCAGGCACTCTTGCAGAAACATTTGAAGCATGTTCTTTAGAGCATAACTGGTCATTTATGTCACCAAAATTTGAAAGAAAATTTACTAGGAAAAAAAGAAAACATTTCTATTGCTGCTGCTCCAAACACAGGCTGCACACAAAATGGGAGTTACTGAACCTTGGATGCCCTTACACGTTTCTTTGTAGCTGGCAGGTTGCCAGGATAGTCTCCTATAAAATATCAAATACATAAATAGATAAATAGTAAAATTATAAATCACTTTTTCTATAAGTTGATTCCACATCCATTCCTGATGCTCACTTATGCTGCTCAAGCTCTCCCACAGTCTCGCCAAACAGTCCATCAAATTAAGTTCTCTGATGCAGTCTGCAACACTCAGCTCCCAATGCTCCACACTCTACTGGAAAAGCTAGACAGCATTCACTAAACATAGAGGAGCCCTTTAGGATAGCCCTAGGTGTGTCCTATTACTTGGTTGCTCCTGCAGGCTGTTGAAACCATTAATTTTGGTTTAGGCTCCTCAGAAGGCCATCAAGTGACTGCATGTAGCCCAGTCACCAGACCCTAGAGAAAACAATAACCTGATAGATGTTAAGAGCCCATTTATTATTTGAAAGACTGCCCCTAATAGATACTGAAGTATCAACTTGGAAGTTTGTCTTTTGGGTTGCTCTCGGAAGGATCACTAATATTTCTGGCAGCCTTCTGCACCTTACAAGTTTAAGCTTGTTATTAAACAAGCAAACTGCAGGGGAATATAACATGGGGCCAGCTTGGGCCAAGACTAAATAGTTTGCCTAAACTGGAACAAAATATAAATTTGCATTGCTTATCTAGCCCTGTTTGAATCAATGCACTTTCTGTATTAAAAAAAAATTAAGATAATTTGTTAATGCGATAATACATTTGATAAAGTGAAACTACAGAAATTAATGCAAGGAAGCATGCTCTGAAGGCATGCTCTATAAAGACCACACCACACTGTGATTAAAAAATTTTAAAAAAGGTAAGAAAAACTCCACCCCTTCCATACTATATATGTTTCTTTTCATTAATCTGACTCTTCTGTTTGCAGAGTTTAGAATAACTTCTCTCTGATCAATGTTAAGCTATTTATGGTCATGAAAAGCAAGGCACCTAACTCCAAAATACAGAAGTATGCATTAGTAAAAGACCAAGTGCTCAGCCACAGTAAATCAATTTATTTCCTTTAAGGTATATGGAGTTCCACTAAACCATCCCAGTGGAAGACCTGTTCCAGGGGTTAATTAAGGAATACATAGTTCTGCTCCTATTATGTTTGTAGGAGGCACCACATTGTTGCAGTGTCTGGAACAGCCTGACCCCTCTGGCACTACAGAGTTACATATTAACAACAAAGTGGTCTTGGGTGAAAGCTTGTGCTTACATAAAGAGACCAGCATCACTAGCCCCCTAACCCCTTTATTTTCTTTTCATTTCACTAGCCACATTCTGATGATGTACATCAGCACTTTTCCATTTACGTCAGCAACTGCAAACAGATTTACATTAATCAGGGGTCTGACCCCATTATGATTTTATCTTTAAATTTTGTACATTTTCAGTTAGTTTGAAAGGACCCATTTAAGGGCAGCTTCCATTTCCTACTGACAAACATTGCAACAATTTATAATTTGTGATGAGATCTGAGGTACTACACAACAATACAGAGCAGCAGCACAAAATGTCCAGGGGAGGAAGGAGAAACTCAGAGAAAACTTTATGTAAGCTAGAAGCAATCGATCCATTGACAATTAGCAAGGCAACAAGAACTACACAGTTGGAAATACAACATGGGATCACAAACACTCAAAACCACTATAATTTTTCTTTTTCTATTCTTTAAATAAAAGTATTTCACACAGAGTCTCTTACAGCAGTATGGATTTTCCTTACATAAGAGAGGAGTTACCATCTGTGAAATGACTTTGCAAAGCACCTTGCAAAGTCTGAGAAAAAGAAACAGCTAAACTCAGCACAGGTTAGGTTCTGGGAATGGGAATCTCTCAGCAGTGTTCGAGAACTCTGTAAACATCTGAATCTCAGAACACTTTTTACAGAGTCTCTTGGGAGTCAAGCTTTCATCTTGGGTCATAATACACTGGGGTTGAACTTGTGATTAGCTCTGAGTATCTCCTAATAGCCTTTTGTAAATACAAACACACAGCACATCAGCATCCAACTGAAGCAAGGTAATAAAATCCATGTCCTCACAGCTGTTTGTTTTAAACAACATCCTATATATTTTTCACTTATATGCTAAACATAGCTATATTCTAAATATTTACAAAATTTAACAAACACAAACACAATACTTAAGAAACACACAACACGTTGCTCAATCTGCTTTAGGTGCTGACTGGTGGAAAAAAAAAAAACCAAAAACAAAGCTAAATGATCAGCAGCCAAACCATTACCTCTGGCATACTGTCATTTTTGTAAGAAAAACATTTTGAATTAGTGTGTGCATATCCACATGTATAGTTGAATACAATGTGTGTGCATGCATAAATATATACAGACTTTAATACAATTTTTATTAAAGAAATTCTGTTACATTTATGTTCAGCTGACTACATGAAAACCCATTACAACAGTAAGTTTCCTAAAGCTGTTACAGCACAGGAAAGATGTGTTTCATAGAAATATGAATTTTTTTTAATAGGCATTTTTATATACATTGACAAAAGATGCAGAGTCAAACTCATTAAATAACTAAAAACAAGCCACTCCTTTTTAGAACACTATGAATGGGCTTGCTTATGCAATCTTTCTAACTCCATGAAATGTTACATTGGGAGGAGATTGTCACACATATGGCATTAAACGGAAGTCATCATTGAGAATGACTATTCATGCAAGGCACACATTGGTTTGAAGCATACAGATAAAAATAATGGTTTTCACTTCTTTCTTCAGACACATGCTATCCAGTAAAAGATAATAAACATAATCTCTAACGTGGAAA